GATTGTTTATCCATACGTTTTATAATAGACATAAAAATACATATTTATCATACCTCATCATGCACATCAGGTGCAGAACACAATTCCACTGGTTTCTTTGGCCAAGCTATAAAATGGCCCACTACTTCACCCAATGTCTCCGCTTCTTCATAGTGAATAGGCAGTTTTGCTTCTTTATCAATCACCCAAGATACCGACTTTACATAATCTCCTTGAAAGAAGAAAAGAGAGCGAGGGTTATTTGTAGTAAAGAGTGTGTAATAATTCAACATATGCGAGTATAAAGTTAACCAACGGCATAAATTTACAAACATGTCTAATAGCAATCCTAAACCTTTTCGAGTCCCATAAGGCCAGGAGCTATGTATCTAGCAAACATTAGCCATCTTGTGTTTCCATTTGCTGATTGAGACTAGACCACTATGAACAAGACCATCTAAATAGCAGTAACCTTCCTCTTCTAAATCCTTCACCAATTGCCTCCCAAATCCCTTATACTCCATTTGCCTCACAAATCCCTCAGCAATCCATATCCTAATAAGCATTTTCACATTGATTTTAAAGTCTTTTGGATAATTACAAAAAAAAAAAAAAAAAAAAAAAAAAAAAAAAAAAAAAAAAAAAAACAAACAAACAAACAAACAAACTTTCAAATCATGTGGCAATTGATTGTAAGATAAAGTAAGCTTACTTAAGTGCTCGGTATCATTGTATAGAGGTCCCAATGTCTCGACTTCCTTTTCAATCTTCTTTCATTCCTTTAAAATGTAACCGCATTTAGACAAACACTCTGCAACTGCAACAATATAATTGACCGTGGTAACCCTTCGCATTCCTTTTGTGAATATATAGTTTAAAAATTGTGAATATAGAGTTCAAATATTGTGAATATCGATTCAAAAATTGTGTTATACTGTTGAATATAGAGTTCTGTAGTTGTGAATATAGAGTTTTTTAATTGTGAATATAGAGTTCTAAAATTGTGAATATACTATATAGAGTTAAAGAGTTCAAAAATTGTGAATATATAGTTCAAAAATTGTGAATATAAAGTTCTGTAATTTTGTATATTGAGATCTAAAATTGTAAAAATTTAGTTCCAAAATTATGAATATAGAGTTCTAAAATTGTGAATATAGAGTTCAAAAATTATAAATATAGAGAAACGAATTTTGAAGATTAACGGCAATGAAGGAAGCAATTTAAAAAAAAAAAAAAAATTCAGACGGCATCGTTTTCAAGCAAAACGTCGTCGTTTTGAACCCGGTTCCATGGCATAACAATTGCGTCCCGTCCCGCTCAGCCAAAAAGGCGGGATGGGCTTTGAATTTTATCACTAGTACACAAAAAGACTTTTAACGTCGATTATTTAGACCATATGACGTTAGTTAAAATTAGATGCTGTTCAAACAGACATTAAAAAAAATGATACGACGTCGGTTAAAAAACCAACGTCATATAATTTTTAAATTTTTAAAGAAAAACATACAATGTCGATTTTTATCAAATAAGCGATGTTGTACTATAATAATAATTAAATATAACAAAATACGGGAAATAAACATATACAATGTCGGTTTTTAAATAAATCGACGTCTCGATATTTTTAAAATTGTTTTAAATAACTTACAACGTTTGTTATTTATTAATAACCGACGTTGTATATTTTTGTTTAATTTTTTTAAATGGACAATAACATATATAAAAGATAAAATTCCACTAGGAATCATTGTCAGAACAGACACCTCAACCACACAATTTATAATCGATGAGTTTCCTTCAAGCTTAACACTGAGAGGCCCTTTGTTCTTTGATGTTTGGATTGATGAGAACTCATTCAGAAGGCGTCTCTTTACCACTGAACTATCACTCACAACTTCACCATTCCCAATCTATTGATACATTAAGTTATTAAGTTTTTTTTTTTTTTTTGAAAAAGTTATTAAGTTATTTGAATCCAATAGAATAATTTTCAGTGTACTGGAGATCGAAGAACACAATCTCCTAAATATTATTGTTCAAAATAATATAATCAATCTTAATACACTTGAAAAAAGCCAGATTTGTATATAACAGAATACTTGAAACCTATTGTAAAATGTGATACATATAAAAGAGGAAAAAGCTACACAATACTTGAACCCTTCTAAGTCAGCACTTTATTCTTCAATCCAGCACTATGCCTCAACATCAACCTTATAATAAAAGAAATTAGTTATACAAATTGAAATAAGATTTTTAAAAAAGATTGAAACTGTTAATCTGTTATTACCCAATAAAATTGAGAATGATGATCGATCACCACTGCCTGGCTGGAATACTTTCTGCAATATGTGGAAATTCAAGAGAAACAACTATAATAGATAACAGTTAATAAATAAATATAAATGGAAACTAAAACATAAATCTAGCATTTTATAATGCAACATTAAAAAACATAAACTGCATAATCACCAAACGGAACTTGTAATCCTTACTTCACCTATAGAAACTAAAGTTAATAGAATGGAATGCTCCAAATTGCTCTTCCTCAATCTTCTATTTCAGTCGTGGTGATGGAGTGTTGAGTTTTGGGCTATATTTATAGGTAAGTGAATTCCATTTTTGGTCCTACTGTTATAGGAGTCATTCCAATTTTAGTCCACCATAATTATTTTTGCCACATTGCGTCCACTATTATTAAAAGTGTTCCAATTTTAGTCTACGAAAAATCTTAAAGTGGACTAAAATTGGAACACTTTTAATAATAGTGGACGCAATGTGGCAAAAATAATTATGGTGGACTAAAATTGGAAAAGTCCCTATAACAATAGGACCAAAAATGGAATTCACTCTTTATAGGTGATTTAGGAGTGTTTGAGTACAACATGAGTTGGGAGATTGAGTTTGATTTTAACTGGGTTTATCAGTGTTGATTAGAATAGGAATTTATTTTTTTGTGCGTTCAAAGAGTTACCCATGGAGTATTTGTAGTGCCAAGATAGAATATATTGTCCTATTGTATTACGAATAGGAATTTTAATGTAAAATTATAGACGAATAAGAAAGTAGGAAACAATATATTCTATTAGGAATTGTATTACACTATTTTATAATATTAGAATAGGAATTTTAACATAGAATTATAGTACGAATAGGAAAGTAAAAAACAAATATATTTGATTAGAAAGCGAGATTTTTTAAGAATTGGGCAGGAAATTAAAGTTTATGATTTTGTTTTTATATATACTATAGATTTATAATCTAATTCCGTATTATACACCAAGTTTTATAGGTTCTACTAACTTTTTCATATATTATTATGACGTGAGAAATATTCTTTGGCTCCCGACCCACCACCAAGATTCGATCCTGTAATCACCAATTTAGAATATTAATAGAGGTGTCATCACACTACATAGTAGTTGGTTAAACGTCACTACAAGAAAAACAGTTTTTAGTGACAAAAATTTAGTGACGGGTAGAAAAACTCCTCACTAAATGTATTATTTGCATAGTTTTTGTGAGGGTTAAAAATTACTCTAGCTAAAGGTTTATGATTTAGTGACGAAATTTTAATTTTATACTTATTTTAAAAATATACCCTCACTATTGATATGAAAAATGTTGTTACTCTCACTATTGATGTTTGCAAATTATTTCACTAAAATTTAATTCCCACCAAAAATTTTGTATTTGGGCGCCATCTTGAACATAATTTTATAGGCAATTTTCTTACTAAGTAGGTGCAAATGTGTAATAGTTAGGACCAAATTTGGGAATTTCTCAATACTAAAATGAATGAAAATTCTCCAAAAATGGCGGCAATTACTGGAAAATATATACGACGATTCTCTGTTCTCTCTGCCAGTTTGCTTCACACTCAGCCCTCAAGTAACCCTAACTCCCTCTGTTGTTTCCGGCCGCAACAACAGCACAACGGTGTTCTCTCTATCCTCCATCTCCATTGTCTTGAAGCTCGACGACGACAACAACTTCTTGGGCTATAGTGGCAACAGATTAGGCGACGACATCAGTAACTTCTTCTTGCTTGGACGACGGCCGTGGCAGTCTCTTCTTGCTTGGCAACGGTTATGACGTACGGTGGAAAATAGGTTATTCTTGCAGGTTTGGTTTTCATTCTTCTTATTGAGTGTGATTTTCCCATTCTTAAGGTTAGGGTTTACCTTGTATTGTACCATGATTGATGCATTTTCTTGGGTAAACATTGGATGTTTCAGTCTGTGCAGTCTTTGTGTAGCTCTTGCATTGTGTATTAGGTGGTTTGCTATAGCCTCCTTTTTGCCAGGAAGAACAGACAATGATATAAAGAACTTTTGGAACTCGCATTTACGGAAGCAGGGAAGTGTTCCCAACCATCAAAACTATTGATTGTTTGATGAAATTTTACTAGTCACCACAGCTGTGTTTAAGATTTTATATTTGGTTAATAGTGTAGTTCTGAGTTATGATTAAATTGAGCTGAATTCAAGTTCTGTGGTTGGTTTTCATAGTGCTTTTTTGGTAGAGGGATTCCCTGGCCAGGTCTCAAAACTACTTTAGTTAATGTACAAAGAAAAATATTGAGTTGCAAGTAAATTATATGACTTAGCTTGCCTTTAATATTGGAGAGATTAGTTTATTAGCAGCTGAACACTATCTAGGTTGCTAAAATTGATTTCATTAGTAGGCAAAATCACATTTCTGTCTTTTCTTTTTCTTTGGTGGGTTCTTTCTACACTTAATACGTAAATTATGTTCCATGTTCACTTTAGCACATCTGAATCATCTTACTGTGGGTCATGTGAATGATCTTACTGTGGCTCTGTTAGTAGTGTGAGCAACTCTGACATTTTTGGTTATGGTGACCTGTTTTTAGTTGGCAAGTGTTCTTTCTTCCTGATCGTATGATAATAATTTTAACTTTAATTTTTATTTTTGAACTGATGTTTAATTGTATTATGTAAAATGGTAACTAAGCCATCATGAAGTCTGATCCGGAATACCTGATTTGGAATTACAAAGACCAAAAGTCTGAACTCTCTATGAAGATCAAGGAGTTGCAGGTGAGGTTGGATTCTCAACTCCCATAGTGTTCTGTAGGCAGAGTCATAGCTTGTGTGTTCTTGTTTGGCTTCCATCCCACTTCTTCTATTCCCTTAACTTATTTCAGTTCCCACACAATCCATTTGTTTTCTTTGATTTTAATTTTATTTAGCCATCCATCCATATTTTTCTCCCTTCTGTTTGGTGTGCATATGTTGAAGGGAAATTTGAGTTCATTTCATAAAACAATAGCAAGTTCATCATCTGGTTTGATGGATCTTTTATTGTTTTTTCTTAACAATCAATTTGTTTTGCATCTGATTTCCCATCTCCACTTCTGGCAATTGTTATGCATATTTCTTTTTAAAGTTCACCATCAAATGTTTTTTTCATTTGTCCTATTAATTTCCTATTAGTAATAATTCCAACTTTTCACTATCATTTCCTCCAAAATGTCTTCATTTAATACTGTAGATACATTAATAATAGTTATGTATATTTGTTAGTTCAAGTACAAAACTTATAAACAATGCTTATTTGGTGGATCATGGTCTACACAACTGTGTAGACCATGCATAGTGTAATTCTTTTTATGCATAAAGGTACATTATTTTTATATATAGGGTATATTATTTTTATTATACATAATGTTCATGCTGAGTACTTATATATTTACTATTAATATATTTTCGACATGTAGTTCCAGCAAGCTGTTTACGACAAAACGGATATTGATCTAGTGCGTTCTGAATGGACAAATTGTGTATCAAGTTATATAAAGTAGGTATGCTTTTGATTAAAACTTTGTGAATATTTAGGCTTGGTGATTGGAATTGTTCAATGTATAGTATTTTGAAGTAGATGATGAATTCTTGTGTATTTTGAAATACTTTACATACTTGTAGAAGATGATTGTTCTAACAAATTGGAATATTGAATAATTATTTTGCATTTATTGTCATGTTCACAGGTATTACATAAGGAATATCCTCAATTTGGCCAGCTCAACGATGGTATCTTCATGCAGCAGGTTTTGCAAAATCCTTAGGTATTACCATATTACATTCAACTCATTAATGCTGCCATTGACATATTGCAAATGACAACAGGATGCTGAAGAATGTTGGACACAGCTTCTGTACACCCTTTCTTAGTCTCTTAAAAGACAAGTTTCCAGGTACTTTAGTCTATGCAGTTGCTTTTTAATGTAGAGACATACAGGTTAGAGGATAGTTGTGTTTCCTAGCTTTTAGAGAATGCATCTGAATGAAAATTGTTTACAGGGCTACTATGATCTGAAATGCAACTAGAAAAGCTGTGCAAGAGTAATATACAGAAAGGTGAAGTAATTTTATTTCCATCATAGTTTTTTATTCTGTTCCAAATCTGGACCATTGTAGGATAATCTTGTTACTGATTCTCCTTTTTAACCTTATTTTTGTTTGAGTGAACCTCTTCGCCTAGTGGACAAGGTCCTCACATGTAGTGGTTTTTATCTTTTTAGGTTTTGAGGCATTAATAGAGCTACAAAATTTGCTAGCCAGAGATGATGATGATTCTTCTATCAAGGACAGTCTCATTATTGATGTCAGCAATCGTTGAAAAATTTCAATGTTCAAACTAAACATGTTTATTTGTATAGTCTTATCTTTCAAAATAGCCAACTGATATATACATTACTATGGCTATTTGTTATAATTAGTTTTTTTTTTTGCTTTTAGTCTTTACAAAATTGTGTAGAACATTTCATTTTGGTAGTGATGAAGTCTTTGAATATATTGATCGAGTTTGCTTTGATTGCATTATGGTAAAAATTATAAATTTTATCAATACATTATTTATAGTTACAATGTAACATGATGTCGATTAGTGATGAAAAAATGTATTACAAAAATTAATATTTAATATATACAAAATTAGAAAACAATATTTGACACTAAAATATAAGTTTTAGTGACGGGCAAAATCTAATATAATGAGGGAAAAATTTGTTAGTAAATAGTATTATTAATGACCGGACTTCCCATCACAATAAGAATATAATGGGAGAAAATTATGTTAGTAAATAGTTGTATTAGTGATGGAATTCTTTGTCACAAAAAGAACATTTTAGTGACGGTAAATATACCATCACTATATGCTAATTAATGATGATATTATATCCCGTCACTATTTGTTTTTAATCTCGGAAGGAATAATGACGGGTGGTGACGATAAATTTCCCGTCATTAAAAGTCTTTTATGATGGTTTTTGATTTTTTAGTGACGGTTTTACCTCTCACTAATGGACAAATTTCTTGTAGTGCGTTTTTTTAATTGCTAACAAAATAAATTTATAATAAATATTTTTAAAAACATGACACTTGAAGCATAGTTTATAGGAAAATATTACATGTACTCCTATTTCTTACTCCCAAATTATACCCCCTCTCACAAATTTTTTATTTAGACACATTTCCTGAGACTCATATGATGAAAATATCCAATCTTTGTTTGCCATGTAATGGAGTATAAGTAAGGGAATAGAATTTGGGAGTACATAGTAGAACTCTATTTTATATGTTTAGGTTGATTAATTGAATTATTTGTATATTTAATCAAAATATAATTGAAAAGACTAATTCCCCTTTTTTTAAAGAAATATATATTTTAGATAAATAATAAAATTTTTATATTTTATAAAATTAAAGCATTAAAACATTTTATTCATTAACATTTTATATATTCTATTCTAATCCTCCCTCAACTCGGAATATGTATGCAGTGAGCGTGGATCAAATACGCGGCCTTAAGATCTTCAGTCTGACGCGGGTCGTTATATTATGCACCGCGGTGCATAATCGATTATGCACCGCGCGCCAGACACTACAGTGTGTTTAAACTGACACTGTCAAAATGACGTCGTTTTCTTTAAGTAAAGAAACGGTCCGCCGTTAGAGTTAACGGAGTCCGCTTGTTTGGTGTATTAAACACCAACTGACACTACAGTATATCTAAACCGACACTGCAGTTATATCAAAATGATACTGTAGTTATAGTGAAATGAAACTGCAGTGTATATAAAATGAAACTGAATAACATTTCACATATTTGAGTGTATATTGTACAATGAAACTGTAATTATATCAAAATGATCATGTAGTTGTGTTTTAATGAAACTATAGTGTATATAAAATAAAATTAAATAACATTTTCACATATTTGAGTCTATAAATATTGAATGAAACTATAGTTATATCGAAATGAAACTGTAGTTGTGTTGAACTGAAACTGCAGTGTATACAAAATGACACTAAATAACAGAGTTACTTTTTGTAAAAGGGTGCGAAACGGCGGAAACAAACACTGTTTATTTTCATTTAAAAAAAAAAAAAAGACACGCGGTGCATAATATAATTTGCCGTCTGACGCTCTCCCAACTTCTTGATAACTTCTATTTATTTTCTACTTGGGGTGCGATTGTTAAAATTAAAAAGAAGTCTTTAAAAGTTGAGTGTAGTATGTTAGAAAAATATGGAGTGTTTGATGATAGGGAAGTGAGGAAACGAGATCTTCAGGCGTGTGATCACTTTCCTATAAGCTTTAAATCTCCCTTATATAAAGCAACAAGGTTCAAGATTTAATCTTATGGGATACAAGAAGATGATGAAATTTTTAAGTTGCTTGTTTAAGAACTTCCTGTTGAAATGCAGTACTGTGAAATATCTCAGTATAATGCAAAATTTTGCATGTTCCTTTTCAGACATTTCTCCACATATTTATAGATGTAAATATAACAGTTTGGAGAAGTTACATGGAAGTTAATTATTTAAATTTAAAACTTAACTTCCATAAGATATATCTTATCTGATATATCAAGCATGGGAAATATATAATTGAATATTATAAATATTCATATCATATGGACCTTCATAGGTTCATGCACTGCATACAAAATAACAAAGTAAAATATATATTATATATATATATATTTATTATTCAATGCATGTAGAAACCATGCAATGCTACATAATAAATAAATAATATTTTTTGAAAGTAATAAATAAATAATATATATTTATACTTTACATGCATGCAGACATATTAAACCCAAATTGAGGAAAGAAGCCATATAGCTGAAACTTAGATTCATGAACATACAATGCATGCAAACATAAATCAAAAGAAAGGCTTTTGAAATAAGCTTACGTGAAATTCACTTGGCCGAAAGATGCAAACCATACCATGCAAAGTTTCGTGAACCTCAATGATAAGGACGAAACCATTTCATTTCAACCAACGAAACCATTTCATTTCAACCAACGAAATCAACAATAGGGCCATCAACTTTCGTTAATTCATTTCACGCGTCCAGGCAAAGCACGAAACTAAATTTTCGTTAAGCCTTTACCGAAACCATTTGAAAATTAACGGAGTGTGCATTAACACGAATTTTAACAAATTGTACAACAATTCGTCAAACTTGATTCGATATCATCGAATTGATTAATGCATTGATTCGTTAAAACTAATTAACGATTCGTTAACACCAACGAATCATTAAGCTTCGGTTCCAAATCAAATTTCCCAACTTACTTTCTACCAAACTAAAATAATATTCATACTCCACAACTCTAAATATTATTTAAGCTTTTCATGGTAGTTCATCTGAACCATTAACTCTCATTACTATATAAATCTCTAACATAGTATGATGGTGAACGACTATAGGTAACGCCGAAAAGTTAACAGCCTTTTTTTTTTTTTTTTCGTTTCTGCCATTTGGATTTCACACCAAGTGTTTGAGTTATTGCCGTAAAGAGAGGCTTCCTTGCTATGAGTTTTTTTTCACTGATCGTTTCTGAATTCCTGTGGATGTTGGTGCTTAATTTGAATATTATATATTCTAATAATTCTTGATTTTATTTTCTGGTTTTTAGTATGGCTGGTTGTGAGATTATTTTATAAAAATTTATTAGTTTTACTTAATTTGAAACCGGCAATTTGTATTTTGATTAGAACATTGGTCGTGCTTATGCTCTGTGATGAGCAATGATGCATCCAAAGGAATTCATTAGTAATAGTTATTTAAGTTGATTTTTAATTCAAAAAGATATCATTCCTGATTCTATTGACTCAATAATTTGGGCAGTAAGTTGACTAGCTTTGAATTCAGTATGGACTTTCATGTGATTCTGTTTTACTGAGTTGTATGATTGCATTAAAAAACACTACCGGAAATTATGAAATTTTCGATCACCTGAAAGTGATCTTAAATCAAGTCGAAAGCAAAAAGTGGCCGAAAATAGCAATAAAAGTTTTTCCGGATACCAAAAGTGGTCGGAACAAGGCTTTCGACTTGATTTAAGATCACTTTCAGGTGGTCGGAAATTCCATAATTTCCAGTAGTGAAATGTAAAAATTCAAGCATGTGCATGCACGATGAGATTCCTGCTAGCACCATATTAATGGCCCTTTAAACATATATAAATTCTCAATTACTCAGAAACAGATCAGACAGATAGAGTGCGAGAGAAACAAACATAGAAAGTGAGATGGTTTGTGTTGCATTGGCTTCTCTAATGGCAACAATTGACCTTGAATTCCAAAAACGAAACCACAGAGTGTCTCTTCATGATGAAAAGCCATTCAATTCTCTGTTTGAGAAGCTTTCTTCTTTGCAAGCCTTTCTGCACAAGGAATACAACAACGATGGTGCTCCAGTCCGTCATTTGGGAATCAAAATCAGAGACTTTGCGCTCAAAGCTGAAGATGACATTGAGATACAACTAAGAAGCTTCCTTCTATCCCAAGACGGAGAGTGTCAAGCCAACGCTTGTGGGGAACTCCATCAAAGCTTGCGAAAAGCTGCAGCAGATGCAGAAGAGCTGTCCAAGATTATCAACAACAGCAGAAGCAGTGAACCTGAAGCGGCCATGGCCACTGAAACTCATCCATCCATTCATTGGTTGAAACCTGAGAATGTCGTGTTGGGTGGACCATCCTCGCCATGCTCTCCAAATCTTGAGGATCAATTTAATGAAGACGCCTTCAATGCGGTAAAAGAGATGTTATTCCATACCTTTGAGCCAAAAAACATAGTTTCAATTGTAGGATTGCCCGGCGTTGGCAAGATCAGACTACTTTGGCTAAAAGAGTCTATGGTTTTGCCTCAGAAAATTACGTTTGAGCTTGGGTTACTGTGCCTCAAGAGTACAAGGGAAACACTCTTTCTCAACTAAAAGAGAAATTACACAGGCACTTTGGAGGTAGTCATCGGAAGATGTATTTTCTTGTTTTGGATAATATACCAAACACCCAAGCTTTGGGTGATATCCTAACATGTCTTCCCAATGATTCACTCCAAATCCGTATATTGCTGACCACTCAGTTCAATGCTGTTGGCAGTGATGCTGCTACATTTGGTAATGTGCATATTAGATCCAAGCAGAAGTTGGGATCTATTTTGCAACAAACTCTCTCCCAAAGAGCTTAGAGCACCAAAATTTGTAGAAATCGCCAAACATGTTGTGAAGGAATGCGAGGGGTTGCCACGGTCAATTGTTGCAGTTGCATAGCGTTTTTCTAAATGCGGTTACATTTTAAAGGAATG